AAAATTTTTTCATTTTTATATTTTCGGCAACTCCGAGGGTTTCATTATCATCTACCTAATATACTTCAGCCGACGCCTAAGATCATGAAAATAATAATCAGCCCGTACAAATGAAATACTCATGAACCCCTCTGTCGTCAATCGGCTCTGTCCAAACAGTCGTCAAAAGAATCCAAGGTGAGGCACGCAAATCCCAGCAAAAAGAAAATTCGGGATCCAATGCTCCACGAATGACAGGTAAATCGACGAGGAATGCAGCTTAAAGCTGGAGAAGTCCATTACCTGCTTGCACTGACACAACCGCCGTTTCGTCTTCAATTTTTATGCTCTCTCCCTCGTGCTCTCGTCTCTAATGCCCCACCCCTCCTCTCATAAATCATATCCTATCCACAGAAATGATGATAATGAAGCAACAGTCCAGACCCAGCAACAAGCAGGCAATGATTTTTGAAAAAGTTCCACAGAATGAAAAACAATGGGAAGATTGGCAGAGAGTAACACGAGTAGACCGAGAACCCCAAGTAGTTCAGACAACTCCATTCGCGTATTCCTAAATTTTTTACTCGTGATTAATTCAGGCGCACAATTCGAGAGCAGAGGAGATGAAACTAATAAAAATAAAATCATATTCCTCCCGTATCAAGTAAATTTCGAGTGAAAATGCTGACAGCCCCCTGGTCAAAATCACAATCTGTCTGTTATGTTTTCGGAAATATAAAAAAATGATGACAAATCTTTTTATTTTCTTATCATCAACGGGATTCATTATCATTTACGCGGCGCATATCTGCAAAATGAAGTATTAGTTAATGGAAATATTGGATCTTAACGAAGGTCCACTTTCCTCCCCCTAAATATCCTAGATTATATACTTGTGGCTAGGGTGAAAAAATATCATTTTTATATTTTCTTCATCTCTGAGTGTTTGCTTGATTATCTACAGGGTCAATCATCGAAGGGAAATTCACACGCCCTGAAGGGGGAAATTAAGGAGAATGGAAGGAATTACGAGGAGAGTGAGAAGTGAAACTCTTAGACTGTCGAAAGAATCAATTTGATGACTTTAGATATTAATAGACTGAACTCTAGGTTGAATGGCATAGTTTTAGAATGGGAGGTTGTCCATGTAGACTTGAATCGTCTGGACGAGAAGGCATCAGAAATTGTAGAATTAGAGAATATTCAGAAGATTTTAGAGACTCGATTAGGGACAGTTTGTATTGCTGGTGTCTCTGTGTCGTAATATCTATGTCTTTAATAATGAATCACCCATAACTAAACTCCTCAGAAATTTCCTCTGACCCCCAGCTATATTTTCAAGATGAATTTTAATAAACACTGTACTCATTATATTCTTATCGAAAAAAACTGGTGATGCAACCGAAGAAAAATCTCTCTAATCTCCAATTGATTCAGATCGCGGCAGAAAATCCTCCAAAATTTATTGAGACCCTCTGGGGAATTCCTCCTGAATACTCTAACCTCCAATCCTCCAACCTCCTGAGAAAAATCCTCGTACCTGGGAGAAAGTTATCTTCAGCTGTAAAAAATCATTAATAATATTATGTATGTCCCCTACAAGAAAAAGTATCAACAGAACCTAGAAACTCAAGGAAGAACTACGAAGGACCTGACGAAGTCAAAAAAATTAGGAGAAAGTTCATTAAAAAATGCTATACTCACTTTATCTTTCCGTTAAGGAAAGTCAATTAATTCCAATTCTGAAGGAAATTATTTTTTTTATCGTGATGAAATTTTCATTGAATCTCTAGTTGCGCGGCAACTTCAGATTTAGGGGGAAAAAATAGTATATTTCTAACCTAGGGAGGGAAAATAATGGATCCCCAGCCGCCAGTGCAATTACCAGGCGAGCCGAAGGCGAGGTTGGTAAGCACGCGGCTGAGGGTCCTTTATTTTACTTCCCGTGGTTAGAACGCGATTTTCCATCTCGACGTAGGCGCAAAGTCAGAGTTCCCTCCCGCGAAGCGGGAGGGAAATGTAATTTTGCGCCCGCCGGGACGGAAAATAAGATTTTCGATCTCTCGCACACAAATTTTTTCGAGTGCTTTGTTCATCATTTGAAATTAGATCAGAGAGATCGATAATCCTACTCTTTTTTTTCTATATCTGAAGTTGCTACGCAAATAATTTCATCTAGATTTGGAATTAATAGACGTTTCCTAACCGAAAGATAAAGTGAGTATAGCATTTTTTTCATGAACTTTCTCCTAATTCTTTTCACTTCTTCAGGTCCTTCGTAATTCTTCCTTGAATTCCTAAGTTCTGTTAATACTGTATCTTATAGGGGATATATCCAATATTATTAATTATTTTTTACAGCTGAGGATAACTTCCTTGGAGGCGAGAGGATTTTTCTCAGGAGGATTGGAGGTTTGAGGATTCGGGAGGAATTCCCCAGAGAGTCCCGATAATTTCCCAAGGATTTTCTAATTAATTGGAGATTAGAGAGATATTTTTTGCATTCCATCACCGGTTTTCTTCGGTAAGATTATGATGATTGCAAATAGTGCTCCATTGAAATTTGTTTTGGAAATATATCTGGGGGGTCAGGGGGAATTTTTGAGGGGGTTAGTTATGGGTGATTGAATATGTGTAAAATAATTACGACGGTATAGACGACGCCAGCATCACGAACTGCCTCTAATTGAGTCTCTAATTCTTTAATTTCTGATGTCTTCTCGACCAGACGAAAATGAAAAAAAAATAGATATATATAAAATAATTAATATAAAAAAAATATATATAAAATATAAAAAAATATAGAGAAGTTGGGGGAAAATGGACTCAGGGGGTAAAATGGACCAGGAGGCAATATGGACCACCAGGAAAAATGCTCAATTTTTATTTTTGAAATTCACTAGATGATTGGGAGGGATTGTTCATGAGGAGGAGGAAGAGTCCGATGAGTCAGATGGCTTAAAAGAGTCAGATGAGTTTCATCAATATCTGATGGGGCTGAATCCCGAGGTCTTTTAAGCTCTTCTTGTAGATCCCCACCTTCTCCTTCAACTTCTAACTACGTGCCGCTCCTCGGACGATAATCTTCTCCGCAGCTCTACACGGAGAGAAATATTCAGTAAAAATTACGGAATAATTCACGTAATCCGTGGGGAATCGTTTTCTGGCAATTTTATAGGAATGGAAGAGGAGAAATCTGAAACGTTCAGTGAAATATCAGGTTCATCACCGAACAAAGTACGAAATTGTCACGTAATTTTTCCCAAAGAAGTAAAATCGTACAGAAACTAGCCAATTTATTATGCCTCGAAAATCAAAAATTCTTGAACGTTCAACAATTATTATGAAGCTGGTGAGTTATTTCTACGTTCCGTTCCGTAAAATTTCTCAATCGTTGGGGAAAAATTATGGAACGACTTGTTGTCCCCACAGCGGTGAGTCACCAGACGAGTGGTTAATTTGTACGGAACAAATCGTAAAATTTACGTGGCGATTCGTACAATTTCAGTTCCAACCCGCACTTTTTGTTGAATTTTACTTCGCTCACGGATTACGTTTCGAAACGTAATTTGTACGTTTTTTTTCTTGTAATTTTTATTGAATTTTTCTCTCCGTCTATCTTATCATTTTGCAGTTTGTCAAACTAACTCCGCATGTTCGAATTAAAAGGTTCCAAGTGCTAGATCTCCATTTTCAACGTGTAATCCACGTCCTTCAGTTTTCATTTTTCTGGGCAGACTGCGGGGTGTGAGGTCTACATCAGGGCCTTCAGCACCTGAGTCTTTTCGTCCAGCTTCTTCTAGAGGGTCTTGTCCTTCTTCCCTTGTTTTTTTATGCCCTCCTGGAGATCGATCTTCTCGTACCTATCGGTTCCTCATTTTGGTGGAGATGAAGTTCTCGAGTTTTTGCCGTTGTAGATCTAGTAGTGATAAGTTGATTGTGCTGCTAGGGATGTGAAGAAGTTTCTGAGAAGTATGTGTACTATAGAGGATCTCTTGATAGAACTTCAATAGAATTCTAATAGAACTCCAATGAATTTTTACAGTTTCAATTGAAATTCAATAGAATTTCTTAGAGGATGTCCCAAGTTTTTCTATTGAATTTTTTCATACGTGGATATTCAAATAGAAATTTTTTTTGGCCGTTCTAGAAATCATAGTACAATACCATGAATGTTCGTGTAAAATGGGCAGTCGTTCATTGGGCACTCGACGAGACCATCAGTGTTTTATTTACTGAGGCTATTAGCAAGGGCAAGATGGGAGCGTGTGGCCAAATGGGGAAATCGCAAATGGTAGATTAAGGCAATTTTGGCGGAAAGTGGTAAGATTTTCACCACAGTTCAATTTCCCTTCAATTGAAGGTACTTGCTACTAATATTCGCAACGAACAATCGCGAGAACAATGGTTTAACATACTTTGAGTAAACTTTAGTTGCATCGTGGAGTGACGGAATAGAAAATCAATACGTCCTGAGAAATAATAATTTCTCACAGATAAATATTTATCACTGATTGTGGAGAGTATGAAGAATTAGTCCATTCATTTTTTTGTTTCTCTTTTTGACAAACGTAACTATACGGTACGCCTTGCCCTCACATAGCCCATAGGTAGACCTGATAAAAGTTGCCTGGCTTTGGGTTGCTTAATTTTTAAATAACTTAGTTCTAATGTGACAGCAAATCTGCCTTACACAATTTCTAGCTGAGTATATCATGCGACGAACAACTAAACAAAAAATCTCCTTGACAAGGTCTCTCTCAAAAAAACGTTTGTTGTTATTTTTTTTATTTCTGATTGAGTTATCCTTCACTTGAATCCGACAAGAAGATTAAATTTTCTAGATGACAAAGACTACCTCGAAAGTTTAGAGTTCTCACCGAGACGAACTCAACTAAAGAGAAGAGGAAGACCTCCCAAAAGGCAACCCTCTGAATTTAATTTAAAATTATCAAGTGCCAACACACTGAGTGATGAAGATGATGAGTGTGATCAGGAAACCACGGTCGGCAATACCCGAAATGGTGGAGATGGTGAGGGAGGGTGTGAAGGCCATGGTGAGGAAGACGGTGAAGGAGATGATGAGGAAGACGGTGAAGGAAATGGTGAGGAAAACGGTGAAGGAGATGGCGAGGAGGAGGGGCAGAGGAAGACAGTGAGAGATGGAAAAACGGTGGAGAAAAGTAAAGAGCGACAAAACGAGAGGGGAGAACATCATGAAGATGATGCCCCCAAAAGAATAGTGAAGCGTCATGAGAGGATCGCTCATATTTATGAAGTAAGTGAAGGAGAAACCGATGATGAACTTGGTAAAATATGATGTGAAGAGTTTTGCAGAGTCGTATGATTTTCAAGGGTGTGGATATTCGGAGCATACTTATGTCTCGTGTCCGTGTCTCATATCTCGTGTCTCATGCTTCGTAACTTGAAATCTTTATGAGGTGAAAGTTCTCGGACTGCAGAGCTCGTGGCTGATGGGTTGTGCCTTACGGCATGTCTCATGCCTCGTGTCTCGTGCCTGGTGTCTCGCACCTCATGGCTCATGCCACATATCTCGGGTCTAGTGCCTCGTGTCTCCCGACTCGTTACTTGTAACTCGAAATCTTTATAAGGTGAAGGTTCTCGGACTACAGAGCTTGTGGTTCGTAACGCGTAAATCGTGGCTCATGATTCGTTACGCGTGATTCAAAATCTTCCTGAGATTAAGGTTCTCGGACTGCATAGATCGTTGCTCGTGGCCATGAGACACTCCTTGATTTGCTATGGTTATTCATACTACTATCTTGTGTTTCGAACGAGCCTCTCGTACATCCCGTTACGTGGTGTTTTGTGTCTCATGCCCCGTGTTTCGATACTCGTGTCTGATCGAACTTCATTCGTCTTTCAATAGCTCGTGACTAGTGTCTGGTAGAACTTGTTTCATCTTTCAATAAGGGAGGGTAGGGCAAAACGGATCAGGCAGGCAAAACGGAGCACAAGGCAAAACGGACCACTGACAGAAAATTGATAATCCTTCATTTCCGTTTCCGTTTGTTTGTTTGTTTTTGTTTCCGAGTGGAAGCAAAAACAAAAATTCAAAGTCATTTGGGGTTTGAGGTGATTAGCAAATCTGATCAAATTGCGGTTCAACGACACTTCTTGTCTATAAAACCCATGTGATGGTTACGATCTAAGAAACTCACCTTTAATTCAACACATTCAGTGTTCCTGATTTGCAGGAAAGAAGAAAATAAAATTATCAATTTTCTGTCAACACCCTAAGGGTAAAGGTGTTCTGTCGTTTTGCCCTAACGGTCCGTTTCACCCTGCAGTCCGTTTTGGCGTCCCGATCCGTTTTGCTCTACTTTCCGCATATACCAGGCTTCTTTCTGCGGATGGTAAATGCTTTCTCTCAAACTTCTCTTTTCTAAAGGTGATTTCAACCATGTAACTCGGGAATCTCATGACAATTGTCGAGTACAATTGTACAAGTACTACATGTGTTCTTACACGTTGACTCATCTGCGAGTGTCTACCTACACTTTAATCAACATACTTCATTTCAGAAATCGAAAGAAAACCCAAAAAGAATCGTAAGATTGTCGACGACAAGGAATATAATGTGCTCCCTCCAGCACGCAGGCGTGGTCGTGAAGTATGTTAAAAATAAGTGCTGTAGACCGGACAAAACTTAATATGATGCGCCTAAAACGTGCTGGTAAGTTGGTGCGAGTGCTAATGGCTCCATAACTTTTCCTTCTAACGAACATGTGGGGATGTTCGTTAGAGACACCACCAGGACCTGAGAACATCCACCTCCGGCGACATACGGAAACGGATCGTGAGTAGGGAGAGAGAGAGAAAATAGGATTTTATTTCCCACTCCTGTGTGGTCATTATTCCGATTATCCCTGGGATAATCGAGTCTTGTTTTCCCGTTTAAGCGGAGTTATTTTTCGTTTGCTTCGCGCTTCCGGTTAGTAAATTTCGCGGTTTCGTTTCGTCGCCAATTAGTAAAGATCTGAAATTATGCGTTTTTGAGGGCCTATAGGGTTATCGTGAAGAAGGGCCGAATTTCAGAGTCATCCGATAACCTTTATGGGAAACACCCTATTGTTAATCTTACGGCCAATCGATTAGGTCCGAAATCGATTAGGTAATTTGGAGCGCCGGCTGAGATGCCGGCGCTCCAAATTATAATGCATTTTACGGCGGTTAAACGGTTACGTTTTAGTTTTTCAGTGGAAGGTCACGTGGAACAAGTGCAACTCTTGTATCCCGTGAATTGCCAGGTTGCATCAGAATTTTGGAAAATTTGGAGAATTAGTTAGGAGTATCGGTCTTTTAACCCCGTGAATCCAGGAGAACCGACCCGTAGGAGGCGCAAAAAATCCACGGTAATTTTCCGAACGTCCACCAGTCTGGCCCAGATTAATCATTAGTCTATTTTATAAAGTTACGTATAGAATAATTCGAGTTGAATATTTTCCGCGTTTGAATTCCCCGAAATCATTCGGTGGCGCCATCGAAGCCGACGCTTGATGTGCCAAAATCTCCGCCAATCAGGGCCCGCCTGATCTGTTGGCCGGAATTCGCGCTGCGGTTAGTGCCCGTGACACTGACCCAGGGCAGTTAGTTCCGCATGGACCGTCACCAATCACTAGTCGCGTGTGAATTTCTGTGTGTGCCCACACGACCTAATTATGCCCACCTCGGATTATTGTGTCTTTTTGAGAAGCTGTGAGGACTAAAGATGGCCCGTAAGGGGAAAAGGACAACCAAGCGTCCAGATAAAGTGAGTTTTCTGTTTTTTTTCCCCCCAATTTCGAGCCATATCTTAATGGCGTCGTCGCCCCCTTTATGGCGGTATGCCCCTCGTGGCCCTCAGCCACCTGCAGTGGTTGATCACCCCCTATAGTCGTGTATTAGTGTTCCTAATTTGGCGTTTTTAGGGGTAATCCCTTATCCCGGGTTTTTATCCGCGTGTCCTTCCGATTTTTGATCGGCTATTCCACCCGAATCGGGTCGGTACTGAGCTCTCTTCGCGACTTCCGGTTTATCCCGATCAGATTTTTGAGAAGATTTTCGGGTTCAAAGAGTGTATTTGGTCTTCAGGGGACTCATTATCAATTTTCCCGGTCGAAATCTGAGGATTTTCGACTTGGGGTATATCTATGGGTATTTGTATGGGTGCTTTCCAAATCGAGTTGATTTCCAATTTTGAGAATCGTAATTCCCGTTGTTGAAATCGTAATTCATGTTATCCCGACCGTAATTTATGATCTCAACAGCATAATTTACCTGTTTGAGAAAATACGTTTTTGAAATGGTAATTCACGTTTTTCAAAACGCATTTTAGAATGAATAGAATGAATTCCTGAAATAAATTACGAGTACTGGATTTGAGTACTATTGCTTCTTATATTGAGTTCTGTTGGTACTTTTGAAAAGAACCAGCCAGGTACTCAGTACATATATTTTTTTTACTTGTCCTGAGTAACAAAAGTACTAGTGATAAGTACCGAGGTACTTCTCACCAGTACTCAAGTACTTGACGTATGATACATACGTCAAGTACATTTGCATTTAGTTCTGTTGTGACTTTGAGGAAGTACAAAATTTGCCTTTAGTGTATCTAACCATTATATAATACGTCTAGTGACAAATTTGTAGTGTCTATCACATGTTTGGTTCGTCTTCGTCTAGGTGCTGTCAATAGTTTGGTTTCACGCGATGATAGGTTAGACGAGTTCGAATACAAATGCTGCGTCACTCAGTTATGTACTCGGAGCCGTCCAAACTATAAAAAACAAGCGAAACCCAATGTCGAGCAGAATCAAATTGACGATGAGCCATTGATCAATATTGACAACAAACGAAGACGAACCGAGGAACCAAATCCAGATCCGGTTCCAGAATTAATTCTGAAACGGTGATACGTCGAAATATTACGGTAAAAAATATCATGCGTCAAAATATGACAAAAGAATATTATTGACAAAACTATCACAGGCCAAAAATATCACAAATCAAAAATATCACGTGATAAACTATCACGCGTTAGAATATTACGCCTTCGGATTACTGCTTTTGATATAAATAATGATGCGCTCGTGTACTTAAGTGGCACATCTCTTAGTGTACGCCTGTGAATGTTAATGTTTAATTTATTATTGTTTATTTAATATTCTGATTGGATGTACTGGAAGTTTATACTGTATACTGGATAGTTCCTCTTTTTCGTATCTTTTCTGAAAATATATATTTTTTTACATTGTTTATTTCTCATTACCACATTTGGGGGATATTTTGTCGTGTGATATTTTGTCGTGCGATTTTTTTGTCGTGTGATATTTTTGTTGTGTGATATTTTGACGTGATATTTTGACGTGTGATATTTAGACATGTAACTTTCTGAAACGGGGACCCACACGAACCAAAGATCCGAAGGTTTTGAATCAAGCTCAGAAACGAAACCCGATCGAAATATCAAAACAGCGTAGTCGACCAACGATTATTTCTGAGGTTCATTTAAAACCGAGGTCATGTGGTTCAGCTCCTGAATCACGACTCACGGCGGGTTGTTCGGCCACGCAGGGGGCCAAACAATCTCGGAATCTGTATGTGGCCGACATTTCTTAGAGCCTGTTGAGTCCACTGTTGTCATTGACCAGTAACGTCAAGAACTTGTCAGCAAACTATGCACTCGAAATAAGGTAAGATGTTTTTTCAACGCAAACACTCTAATTCGACCCTTCAATTTGTCCTTCGACTTTGCCACTTATTTTCTCTCATTATATTTGCCGCTCTTCTTGCTATTAGTTGGCTCATCGAATTGAATTTTTCCATAGAAGTAGCGCGATTGCCCCTGAAAACGCCAGTAGCCAAACGATCTCAGGATTTGAACGTGGCCAAAGCTCCTCCGAAGGGATTGAGTCCACTGTCGTCATTGACGACGGTGACCTCAAAGACTTTTGAGCAAACTGGGATCTCGAAGCAAGGTAAAATGCTTCTTTAACGCAAACACTCCAATTCGACCCTTCAATTTGATCCTCAAATGTTCTTTCTCCATATTTATCGCCCAACCTTAGATTGGTCATTATATAAAGGAAACGCTGCGGCACGTCCTTTTTTTCTTTAATTGTTATTAACGCTGGAGCCTTAATAACATGGCGG